AGTGGATGCCACCGGCGGTTGACGGTTCAGAGGTGGTGGAATGGCTACGTTAGGTTTTTTTTAATATTTATTTAAACCACTAGAAACTTGACACGTGTCTTATACGGACCCCACTAACGGATTCCATCCAAGAATCTGTTACATGGTGGTGAAATCCAATTTTTTTGATTTTTTTGCGGTGTTATGATAAAAATTTTAAAAATTGTGGTGTTATAATCCGTTTTTTCTAAAATTTGTGGTGTTATTTTAAAAAAAATTGTTGGAAAGCTCTTTTCGAACCCGACCCAACTACACTATTATTGGACATTTGCCATGGACCAAACCAAACTGGATTGGCTGTTTTCTTAAAAATAGGTTTTCAAAAACAGAGAGAAAGAAAAGAATTAAAAACTATTCGCAACACTAGACTTTCCACACTTTCACTTCATTCGATTATGATTCGACATGAAAGGTACTCATCACCGAGTTTGATTTTGGGAAGACACAAGTGGGTGTCGACACAAACGTATCACTATAATCTATAGAGAAGAGTTTTATTGACCAAACTATAATTTGGAATATATTTTGGTGTTCCATCTACCACTTACATACACTCCAGAAGGTTAGAGTAGACATCTTCCTACCTAATAATAATAATAATAATAATAATAATAATAATAATAATAATAATAATAATACACTCCGGATGTTTAGAGTAGACATCTTCCTTTCTCATCTTTCTTTCTCTTTTTCTTCATCAGTGTATGGCTCCTACAAGCGTGTGTACCTTGCATCGTACCACCGTTTCGCAAAAAGAATATATTATACAAATGTAAAGAACATACAATTGTAAGGAAAATAACATACTATTTTAATGTAAAGAACATATACCTAAAGTAAAAAGAACATATTTGCACCAAAAAAAAGTGAAAAAAAATATGTCCATGTTCTTTGATTGTCAGTGTAATAAACTTTTATTTGTGGTATAATGTTCATTGCTTATTATAAAATGTTAATTTTATCTTAAAATTATGGTAGATATATATAAATAATGTTCATCACATAATGTTTTTGTGTTCTTTATTAACATTATAGATGTTCTTTAGATATACAAAAAAAAAATATAAAATTGGATGTTCTTTACAAAACTGCTATATGTTCTTTAAAAATACAGTGGTATGTTCTTTACAAAACAATTTTATGTTCTTTTCGCGCTTTTTGTATGTACCAAGCAAGGTAGAGATTGGTGTACCTTAAAATTTGCACTTCTTCATTGGGGGATTTAGAGATAGACATTGTTACTTTACTTAAACCAGTACAAAAGTTCTCCAAGGTCAGGATATTGGTGTTGTAGCAGCATCTGACATATTTGTTAGGACTAGTTTTGCTATAGCTTGAGGAGTGGAGGCCCAAATCGTTTCTCAACTGCCTACTAATTTTATGTAAATTTTTTGAGTTTTTAATAATAATAATAATAATAATAATTTTTTTTTCCTAAAAAATAATAATAATTCTTATACGTGGCTGACCACACCATGATATAATTCTTATACGAAAACGGCAAATTTCTGCAACGTACGGTGTCCGAAACGTTTCGGAAACGTATCACGTTTCGAAACTCGTTTCGAAACGCTTCATAGAGTTTCATAATTCTTGGAAACGTCTCGTATAATTGGGAAGTTTGGAAACCCATGGGAAACTTAATTCTCAATATAAATAGGTGTTTCCCTTAGAAATAGCTAGCAATTAAACCCCTGATTTTACAATTTACATATTACGAGCAGCATACTCCATAGTTGTCGCTTCCATAGTTTCTGTTTCAAAGCTTGGAGACCCTTATTTGCCACCGACCCGCCATCACCGCCTTATCGGAACAATCGTAGAGGTAATTACCAATTACCACCGACCGATTTTTGTAATATTGGTTTTCATTTTGATTTTGATCCGTACTACCGACCGATTTCTATATCTTTGGTTTTAATTTTGATTTTGATCCATACTACATGCAGGGCCGTAGCATTGATTTTGGGGGCCCTGTTCTAAATCGAAAAAGGCGGCCCTTAATAATGTAAAAATTATACTACGAAACGAACTACTTTTTATCTATAATTTAGATAATGCACAATTTTCCTATATATACATTACAAAATGAAAATGCTTTTGTATAACAATGATATATTCAAATATGCAAAATTAATTCAAATATTTTATTCATGTTAATTTTTGATAATATCAACTAAATATAACATCATAATTATAATAATAATGTCACATATACAATTATAGGTCCGTAGAAAACTAGAAACAACCAATTAAGATTCTAATCTTTAACATACAAGTTGCAAAATTAAAAATTAAAAATTCATCCAACTGTGAAATAATAGTAATGATTAAGATACTATATAATTGCATTCATACAATTTATACATGCCCATAGAAAAATTAGAAGCCAGGAGTCTAGGACCGTATAAAAAAAATCAATTAAAATTGCTTCAATTGATATTATCAAACCAGAAACATTAAAAAAATTGAAATAAAATAAACATCAAAATTTTACCTTTAACCAATAGACAAAGTAGGAACCAATGAAACAGTCATTCAAAAAGCTATCAAAACAATACCCCCAAGTGAAGTTCCAATTGGTTTTTGTTTTTGTATGATTGTGTATCAACTGAGAATTAGATGAAATAATCATGGAAAATCAAATATAATTAATTGTTCATTGCCAATGTGATAGAAGAAAAACGTTTGAATTTGACTGAGTATATGTAATTTTTCATTAAAAATCCTTGAATGGAGAAATTATTTTCCATGGAATTGAATTGATTTAATTAAGATACTACAATACTAATTTAAATTGATGAAGGAATTTGGAAAGTTGTAGAAATTAATATGAAACTTGAATAAAGGGAGGAAAATGTTTTTGATGAAAATAATAGCGTGATTTGCTACATTGAAACTTGACGGCGATATAAACAAGAAGACTAACAAATACTCCGTACATAATCAATAGTTAAATTAATAAATAAATAAATAAAAGGATTAAAAAAAATGGGCCCTCTTAAAATTAGAGGCCCTGTGCAAGAGGGCACCTTGCACACCCTCTTCTACGGCCCTGACTACATGAATGCCTTGATGAATGCTTTTTGTTTGGCAAAGATGTCAACATTAGTACTGCATTTTTATTTAATTCATTTTTTTTTGGGTTAAATTATTTAATTCTTTAATGTATCTTTCAAGATATTCAATTATGTATGTACCGGAGTAGAACACGTGTTTTGGAAGTTTTGTGCTTTTTAGACTTAAAAGACTAAGTATTAGTTTGTTTTTATTTCTTGCAATTTGTTATTTTTTTCTAATAAAATGTCTTTTAATTATTATTTTTCGTGTCCCCGTTTCCCATAAATTTAAAATTTCCGTTTCCCCGATTCCCCGTTTCGCCGTTTTCGTTTCCGTTTCCCGTTTCCGTGCAACCTAGTGGCCAACCATCATAATGGTTATTTCGTTAGTATTATAAAAGTTACTCGGTTAGTGCTATAGAGATCAGATTACTTTGTTTTTTAACAAGTTATCACCTGATATGGCTAATCCACACAAGACGCAACTGCTATCGCACAATCTTTCCAAGGGAAATTTCCGGTATTGCCAACAATGCAGTGACCCGTAGAATGTTTTCGGTTATTTCAAATATACTGTTAATACAAGCAGCCTCACCAAACAAGATAACTAAATTCATTTTGGCTTCTTGAGTTTGAAAAGTTGCTAGAGTCAAACATTATGAACGACAATTGGTCTTATATGGACCCGGTCTACAATAAATTATTGTAGACCCAAAATTTGATACTTTCAAATAATATAATCACATTCTGGATAATATAATCACTTTTTTAGATGATATAATTATCTTTTTATGAGTCATATTTTGATCTCATATTAAACCATTTAATGAGATTATATAATTATGTTTAGGATGATAAAATTTAATAATCATCATTTGAATGATGTAATTTACTATTTGATACTTTTTATAATGATAAATTCACTTTTTGAGCGATACATTTACATAACAGTTTCAAGATGATATAATCACTTTTGTAATAATATAATCACATTTCCTATGATATAATCACATTCGTATGGTATACTAGAAGGTTGGGTCTACAATAAGTTATTGTAGATCGGGTCTATTCTAGTCTTTATATATGACCGAACAGCATCTGTCTAACCATACAAGTACATTCAGATACCTTGGACCATACAAGTCATACGAGTCGACACTCGAGACTCTAGCACGTACTTCGTACTGATACTGGTCATACAATTTAGCCGCCAACATAGAAGCCAAAGGATTTTTATCAACCACTTTAGTATTTTACTTCCTGAAACTTGTTGCTACTTGCTTTAGACTTATTTCAAATCTAGTGCAAGGAATAAATTTAAAGAAAAATTCAGAGCTAATTTATATTCAATTAATATTTTTTAAAAAAAAGCACGTAAAGAAACACTATCTTACTACGGAGTAGTTACTAGTGTAAAATGCTCTGCCAACGGAAATTGATTTGAGCTCACTACTAATTAATTTTGGCTCATCCCTATGTAAGAAGGGTATAGAAAACTGTGTTCTCGCATAAAGATGTGCAAAAATATTTTCCCCTGCCAACCTATTGTTCTGTAATTACAACATAGCGTTAGAATTAGAATCACATTCCTCTATTCTAATCCTGCCATTACAAAGGATGGACGATTAGTTGGAAAAATAAAAGCGTTTAATTTTGATCTTTTTTCCACCCAAACCATTACATCCACCTGAAGACCACCTTTAACAGCGGAAAAAACAACCCAACATAGTTGCTACAAGCGAATGTTCAAGTTGGCCTGATTTTAATCGATCAAGACATAAGCAAAGCACAAAGCTCTCTGCTTATCTCGTCATACTTGCCTGACCATCACAACCCCACAAAGCCACAACCATCACAACCCCACTGGGCCACAATCATCACCCACCATAAAACCAACGACAATAAAGATAACAATTTCTAATATCTTTATTATAGGCATTGCCTTATTCATGTCAATACATACAATAGTCATGGCAAAAGTTATCAGGAGCAGTGACTGCAACACTCTTCATGCATCTGCCACATTTCCAGAATAATCCACCTAAATCAAAAGCCAAATGCATACAGAATTTCTGCACCTTCACAGAATTGAAAATTTTAGACAGTTAGTTCCAAAAAGTCACATTCACAGATATTGCTCAACAAAAAAATTACACTGAACATGCTGAGAGCTAAGCTTAGAACTAAAACAATCCCTGCCTTCTTTAATTTTCAATCTCAATTGCAAAATCATGGCAAAAAATTTCAATTATCATACATACATCAACTACTCATCTTGCCCACATTACAAGCATGATTTATAAATGGTGGAAGTGGGTAATCTTGACAACAGTATAAGGGTCTCTTATCAACCCAAGGGTGAACAAAGTCTAAGAGTATCCATTGTGTTGATGAACAGCTGCATACATGCCCAACACAAATTTCGCAACTGGATATTCTAGAAAGTTTGCAGATGCCAGCTTATGGATGCCGTCTAGAACGAGACACAAGAGATTGAAGTATCTTCTTTCTAGGCCCCTGCAGAAGATAATCAACATCCATCAATCATAAATGAAAGTCTAATCAAGTAGTCATAAGATCATAGCCAATATTAGCTGTCGTCATTTTCAATTTTCCAGCACCAAAAAAAAAACCATAAATAAAGCATTTGGTTTCTCAGAAAGCTAAGAAAATCAGAGTTCTTTGTTTACTCTTCCTCTCTGCCCTTCCCTTGACGTTTTCCCATCCAAACACAACATAAAAGTAAATCCTGGGATATACTGCCCTCAATAAAAAGGGGAGGGGGAAATTTAACAAGAAATTCTTCCCTACATCTTTACATCTGCATCTCAATTTATAAGAAATCAAATACCTAGAAGACCATCTATGCTACTGAAATAGAAGTATTAGAGATGCATTCTTTTTTCTTTTTTTTTTTTTTTTTTTGACAAAGAGATGCATTCTTTTTTTTTTTTTTGACAGACCACAGCAACAACTAGTGCACGAGATTCTCAAATCTCAAGAGAGATCAAGGTGCTAAAATTATTTATTGGAACAAATCAAACATCATAGCCTGAGTTGAACATTTATGGAAGAGCTGCTTTCCCACTCCACTTTCTTCACAGATGGCAAGTTTCAAATTTTCCAGAAACAAGACGTAAACAAAAACAAATAAAAAAAGAAGGATTACACTGTAAATCGAGAGTATTGAAGTTTTTACAGGACCTCAAAGTGCATGCAAAATCCCAAGTAAAATTAAATGAATCCATAGACTTGAAGTCACATGCAAAATGAGTAGCTGATATTCCTTAATTCTTATAGATATAAAGTAAACATTTGACAGAAATGGTTATACATTCCATTCTCTAAAGATACCAAAGACAAAAGAAGTTATTTATAAAAAGTAAAAGAAAAAATATATATATAAAAAGAAAAAAAAAAAAAAAGGTCTTTAAAGATACCAACTAGGGCAAATGGATGAATGTAGATTTGACTGGTGCATATGCAATACAATACATCTGATGTGCGTATGTATTATCTAGGATTAAAAGTTCCACAGTTCATTGTTTTTGTCAAGTAATTTGAAACTGAGCTCGGCATATTGCAAACGAAAATGCCAAGAGACAGCTGACATATAATTAATGAAAGGATGACAAGGATCTTTTAAGAAACTTTACAGAATAGGGTGGAAACAAAAGGACAGAAGGAATATTGTGAATTACCATAGGTACACCCAATTCTTTCAAGTCATTGTCACCCAACTGCTTCAATGCATTCATGTCTATCTGTTCAAGGAAAAAGTAAAATTAATCACATAATCAGCATACAAAATCCTAGGAAGGAGAAAAAAAGTTTGATAGCACATAACACCAAGTTCCTTTGTTATCGGCATGTCTAAGTTGAGCACTAAAATATCCTATAGTACCATCTAGATAAGACACGGATAAAAAAAAATGCAGAGCTATAAGATATATGCTTTTGCTCTAATATGATAGATACAATATCCGTACTAGTATTATAATGTTAGTCATGCTACTCAGTAGGGTTAAATTTATAGTACATAGAATCTCTTTTATGATAGGTACGTATATCATATACTAGTGCTATAGTCATGCTACTTGGATTAAAATCATCTAATTGATAGTCCAGGTAACATGAATGATGTCAAGTAGGGTTTTTCAATCAACTAAATCAGGAATATATAGCCAATGATGTCCTTTATCCAACATATGACAAATATATCCAAGAAAGGGACATAATGCTTTATCCAAACAGTATAATTTTACTCATTTTCCATGTTTAAAAGGACTACAATAGTAGACCAATTTAAGCTCAGCACACATTCCATGTCATCAAAAAATTACTTAAGACATAACCTACTCATCTTATCCTCTACACAGCTTATCTGATACAAGCTCGGTTTCCAGCAAAGCCCTTCTACGACTTTTTTTTCGTCTTTTTGAAACTCGGCACATTTAATAGAACAATGCTTAATTGGTTATTGGGTTTACAAAATCTCAATGAAAGTAACTTTCCGACCACAAAAGGAAACATAACTTCCCTCTTTCATATAATATTGACTAATGCCATAATAGAAAATCATACGAGTAAATGACCAAATGGTATGATAATTCTGGTTACAAGTCTTAACAGATGTGTATGACAGATAATTTACAAAGAACTACATACAGCACTACTAAGGATTAAAGGCTTTGAGCTAACCCAAAAAGGTCAGGAAACTCTTAGGCTTAATGATAGAGTCATAAGTGTGCATTATTTTTATTATTTTTCTCTTGATATTATAATGGGTTTTAACGGTTTAAGAGTGTTTTATGTAATTTTACTTCAGAGACGCAAATTATTACTATGTCATTTGTTTATAGGAAGGAAAATTTTGGATCAAAATGTATTTTACTACTGCTTGGGATTAAAGGAAGTGAAAACTACAAGTTCATGGCAACTCACACTTGTCTCAAGCCCAAAACTATTAAATTAAGTAATAAGCCCAAGTGGGATTTTATGTCTAGCAGTCTGTTTGACAAAAGCATAGAGCACCTCAAAGTCTCAAACCCTCTCTATCCTTCTTGCGAAAGCGGCAAAGGAAAATCTTGAGCATGATTCACAAGATTCTCAAATTGGCGAGCAAGAAGAAATTGGAAATTTATTGTACTTTGATTCGATTGATACTCCATATTATTGATTAAAACTAGTTTAATTATACTTTAAACAAGCCATCTTTAGTGTAATTGGGCAGTTTTATTACTAGTTTTAACTTGTGATACGTAATTGTCCTCGTTAATGCCATTAGTAGCAATTAGTTGTTAGATTAGTGACTAAAACTTCTCAGATACCTAAGATTATAAACACTTTGAGTTGCAAAATCCAAGCTTGTGAGATTGTGGCTTAGGTTGAGTACTTCTTAATTATCAATGTTGTTAATTAATCAAGTCTAGAGAGCTTGTTCTAGATTATTAGTTAGTTAGACAATAATCTAAGAGCTTGCTTGGTTTATTTGCAATTAAGAGAAGTTTTGAATACTATTTTGTTTTCTCAAGTTATGAGTGATTTATTTAATTCAATGATCAATTAATATTCCGATACTAATATAAGGGGGGCGTTTGGTTCGCAAACTGGTATGGGGTTGAAATCAGGAATGAAACCATAGTGGTATGGGTTTGGAACTCGATTCTTAATACCGTATGTTTGGTATAATTATGGAATGCAATTTTTTTCTATTGTTTGACACCTTAAAGTATGGGAATGAGCCAAACCCCCCCCCCCCCCCCCCCCGCCCAAGGTTTCTAAACCCCATGCCTTGGGGGTTTGAGGTATGGGTTTGAAACTCTTAAAATCATATAACAAACATAAGGTATGGGTTTAAACCATTCTAAACCCATACCTTATATCTTAATTAAGTGAACCAAAACCCCCCTATAAGTCTCCTGATCCCTATTTTATTATTCTTGATTTTAACGTCTCTTACTTTTATTAGTTTACTAATCTATAATTATAATCTAGTTTGTAAATAAGTTCTTTAGATCATCTACTCTTTCAAATATGGGTTTCTAACTTACTTAAGTTATAGTTTGATAAAATCAATTCCGTGGGATCGACCCTAGCTTTCCCTACTACATTTTTAGGAGGTTATAGTTAGGTTTATTTTTGGCCTGATAGTCGTAACACTTAAGCAACAAAGCATGACCAAAAAGGTAGCAACTAGTAAGTGTCAACATAGACAAAGACATTAAGTCTAAATCCCTACCCATACAGCACTTTAGACATTCTTGGAGTGAACTTAACAAACTTTTATTTCTTGAAAAAGCACCTTAATCAATCAAATCTCTCTGCATTGTTATTCAGAAAAGGCTAAGTGGAGACGGTGTCTAGGTCACATACATGTCTATTTCATGAAATATGGCTCAAAATGAATAATCATATTGAGTATCAAAATCCATGTTAAATACCAGAGATAAGTACCTGCCATGATAATTTTATATTCAGAATAGCTAGCACAAATAATGATTATAAACCTAGTGTAAAAGGCTATTTCACGTTTAAGTCTACTCATAGAAGCACATTAATTTTCCTAAAATGTATTCAAATCTCCATCTCCTAATCTGAGGCTGAATAAATATTCATACTACAACCATCTCATTCCGTATGACTTTAACGATCAGTGGTAAGATATTAAAAAAAAAAATAATAAAAATACACACCTCCTCAGCCTTGAAATTAATGATGTACTTATCCAACCCAAGAGAATGCAAGAAGCTATCAACAGTGGGGAGTTCATCAACCTGCAAAGGTTATCATAGTCAACAAACAGAAACAGGAGAACACAACCCATAAGTCGGATCAAAAATCATCAACTTATGAAAGTAATCTTTCATAGTAATGGGTACCATAATGCTTTGGTCTGCAGCATGTAAAATTTCATAAAAGGAGCCAAACAATTAGCCAGTCATCAAGCATCCTCTTTTAATCATCCCAATTAAAAAGAAGGAAAAAAAAAAAAGAATCTTATCATATACTCCCTGCGTATTTTATTACTTATTCTATTTCTCCATGCACGGAGTTTATGGAGGAACGGCAGAAAGTAATAAAATATGATGGAAGTGGGGCTGGTTGAAGAATAAAAATCTTAAAAAGCAAAAGTGAGTATAGGTGGAGGGGAGAGAAAATATGCAAAATATTAAAATATGATATTGGGGGACCACTAGTGGGGAGGAGAATAGTAAAATATTATTAAAATTTTCCAAAAAAAAAAAAGAAATGAAGCAAGTATTAAAATACGGCCGCAAAAGGAAAGTAGAGCATGTAATAAAATACGGAAGGAGTACATATAAATCTCTTATTCATCAAAAAAAAAAAAAGGTTCCATTGTTCCAAGTCCATAACAAACATGTCTTAACTCTAACTTAACATTCGCATATCCTCATAAACAAGGCATAAAACCCAACACAATTGCTTTTGGTAACTATTCTGTCGAAAGTAACAAAAAATTCACTACCTAAATCAGCATCTCTTCATTGACACAAACTTATGAGTTGATTATCATCTATAGTTATTGGAATATGCACAAGCTTCACCTGTTGTTTGTTGACCTACTGTCTCTGTTTCTAATCTAAAATTACCACCCCTTCTATTTCCATGTGAAGCACGTCACAATAGGAAGCATTAACATCTACATTTGCACAAACAGATAAACCCAAAAAAATAAAAAGAACCCTACAACTGTTAGATCTATAAAAAGGATTTTCAGTACTAGCATCATATAACAGTTCTCTTGCAGCAAAAAAAAAAATCATATAACAGTTCTCTAGATGTAGTAATTATTTAGCCACATACAATTTAGGAAAATCCAATGAGTCCAAATTTCAGAAGGGCAGGGCATAAACATAGTATAAAAGTTCTTCTCTGCCAAACTCTAATGACACTCAAATGATTAAGGTAACATAGAATGCAACTCATACCGTGGATGGGATCTTGTGCATAATTCCACTCGCTTGAGAATAATGTGGAGGAAGAGGTACAGAAGACTTAACAGGAGCAGCAGAAATAGAAGGTTTTGACAGAAAGGGTGAAGAACTGACAGGTCTTTGTGGACTAACTCTCACATATGAACTTGATCTCCCATCATCATATGCCCTTACCGCCCTTCTCTGCAAATCTTCCCTACTTCTTTCAGGAGATATCCCTCTATGAGCAGAAGAATGATATAGCCTCTCCGGGGACCTTCGTCTCAAATTGTCCAAAGTCCAGGAAGAATAGGTTCGGCCTGGGTCCGCTGCAGACAACTCACTTGTGTTTCTTGAGGAAGGATACCACCCTAATATGCTAGCATCCCTCTGTTCAAGCATAGGGTGCCTAGGTATTCCAGTATTCCTCTTTTCATCTAGAGGATGTCGAGTACTAACATTAGACTCAGGAGGACGCATGGACTTACTACCCACTGAAGGTCGAGAGGTCCTACTCAACAGTTTATCTCGGAGATCAACATTACCACGTACACCACTGTTCTGAGATTGAATTGTGTTTTTTTGCATCAATTTAAATCGAAGATCATCCTGACGAAGATGTGTATCTTTAAGGTTCCAAAGGCAACATGGTCAGTAACAGGAAAATAAGCTCTGAAATACAGAATGGAAAACACTCTAATGCTCATAAAAGCTCATTACCATTTAAGCTACTTGTGCCAAAGCCCTCCCCACGTTGCCTGAGAATGAGAAACATAGGATATTAACTGCCAAAACCAAGAAAGAAGACCATAATTGATCAGACATCTATCCCATTTAGGACTAATTGCAATGTGCAAATCAACAATGATGACATTCTGATGGGTTGCATATCATACATGATTGGCACGTTCGATAAACCGGATACGGAGTATCAAGAAAGCAACAGAAAAATGAAACTGTAGGTTGATTCTAAACAAAGGAAGCAGCAAAGCTCCTATTAAATTCAGGATGACATTCTGATGCAATAGCCATCAACAAACACTACATAATACTTCGTATAATTCAAGAAACTAAAACAACATTGTGATTTGTGAACTCTAAAACATCTACTAAGGCAAGGGGCAAGGTAACGCACCGCTTGTTGTACGGATGATATCTATCATCAGAATTACCACCCAGTCTATCTCTGATAGATCGTTTGCTTCCTGTCATTGCTCGGTCATTGCGAAACCCTTCCTCCGACAAACCATCTGCCTTCTTCACCACCTACATTCACTCATACCCATTAATTAATCAAAATCAATAGCAACACCCCTTAAAAATCTTCAATCAACTGATGTCACGTTCTATAAACACTATAATAAAGTTGCAATTTTAAGATTCCATGTTTCGGCGAGCTTCGAGTTTTCCCAAACAATTACCATTGTTATATATAAACATTATATCCTCATTTCTTCACCATTCTCCCAATTTCAAAAAATTCATATCTTTATTCACTGGTACTACTCAGTTTCAAACATATTCACCATGCTTACAATCTCTCTAAAACAATGGCAAAAATTAACAATCAATAAGTAACTAAAACCCTAAATTTGGGTTAAAATTTAAAATTGATGATTAAAAAAAAACATAAAGAAATGTACCCGACCACCACGACCAAGAGTAACGGTAAAACCAGGCCTCAAACTTTCCGACATTAGAAATTCTCAAAACTTTCAATAAATTATGAATCTCCCAAAAAAAAAATCAAAAAAATTAGTACTGAGAATAATTTTGATTCGAAAGCTGACGAAACAGAAGATTTATAGATGAATTCAACATTGAAACTTTCGAACGGCGACGAAAACTAAGAAGAAAGAGATTGGAAGTTTCAGTGATTTGGGAGAGATTAAAATGGAGGTTGATTTCGAATTTAGGGTTTTATTTTTCCAAATTTTTCCCCTTTTCTGAAAAAGTTTGAATGTTGGAACGAGAAGCAAAATGTTGAAGAGAGAGAAGGAGGTGGTGATGCAATGGGCCTTGATGAAACTTTATGTAGGCCCAAATATAAGTTAGACATTAGCCCGTATGTAGTGATGTTTTTCCCGATAGAATGGGTTTGATAAAAAGAAAAAAAAAAAAATATATATATATATAGGGGAAGGCTCTCGTGAGAATTTTTCTTATATGAGAATTTTTCTTATGTGAGAAAACTCTTTATGTTCTAAATTTTTACTCGTATGTTCTAAAATTTAAATCTGATGTTCTAAACTTTTTTTTTAGGTGTTCTAAATTAAATCAAATGTTCTAATTTATTACTCACATGTTCTAAACCATAAATTAGTTAAGCTTGATGTCATAAATTTTAAATAACTTGTTCCAAACTTTTAACTTTTATGTTCTAAATTTTAAAACGTGTGTTCTAAGATTTTTAATTATATGTTCCAGATTTTCTAAGATTTTTTAATTATATGTTCCAGATTTTAAAGCGTATGTTCTATTTTTTTTACTCGTATGTTCTAAATTCTTTACTCACACTTTCTATATTCAATATCAGTTTGTTCTAAATTTTTATTCACATGTTCATAATCTTAAATCAAGTGTTCTAAATGTTACTCATATGTTTAAAATTTCATAAAGCAAATTTTATAAATTTTTAATCACTTGTTCTAATTCTTAAATTAGATGTTCTAACATATTACTCACACAAATGTTCTAAATTATTACTCATATGTTCAAAATTTTAATTTGAGTCACATGTTCTAAATTTTAACTCGTATGTTCTAAATTTTTACCCATATGTTCTAAATTTTAAATCAGTTCTCATATAAGTATAAATTCTCACATATGGACCTATTCTCACCGGATCCCTCCCATAACACTCCCCCTGTACATTATCGAATATTGTGCCTCGTTAAAACCTTATTAGGAAAAACCCTGTGGCATAAAAACCTAATGAAGGAAAAAGAGTATAACATTTTTCGTAATACGCTCGAGATGTTGCCTCATTAAAAACCTTACCAGGAAAACCCGATGTGAGACAAAACCATGGTCAAGGGAAAAAGAGTGCAGCCATATTTTCTCCCCCTGATGAATACATTATTTGAGATCTTCTAGTGTCGCAGCAATGAATCTAATATGTTGGATATCTTTTAATAAGTTGGTAAAATATCACTTGTTGATCTTTGATCCTCTTAAATTGAAATTGCATCTTCAAGTCTTCACACTAACATGTGAAGTGTCTTCATTTCACCATACATGTGTTTATCTCTAATATCAATATTTCAAATCTTTGTTTAATAGTTGATTCAAAGGATAAACTTATACGGTTATGACTTCTTCTGGAAATCGTTGATAATAAATATTGATGATCATTATTTGATCAAACATTCATTAATACGAGTAATAATTTGATGACAAAACTTAGCTTGATATTATTAATATCATTCTTCTCATATGAATTATAATATAACACACGTAATTATATACGCTAATTATGGTTCTTCTGGACCATAAGAAAACATTGTCACGCATAAGTGATCCATTGATATTCTTTAGACGTTTCATAATTGACACGATAGCTCTCTTGCAAATACAAATAGTTAATTTCATTAACTCTCATATGCTCAAACTTCAGGTTGAGATGTTAATAATGTTGTCACGTACATAGATTTTCAAGAGTTTGATAATAATTGCAAATTCAAGATATAAACTTTGTAGGGCTGGATATTACAATAGGTCGTATATAAGTTCTTCAGGAACTCTTCTTAATTCATAATGTGCAATTAAATCGGTGTCATCAATAATTTCATCACAATTATAAGCCCATTGAAATATTAATCTCTTTCTAATTTTTCATCAAAGTTGTAAACATACCTTACTATACTTTGAATGAACATTTACATACACCACAGTTATTGTATGAAATTAATGCATGCAATATGAGATATAGAAAATATGATAACATATTAACAAATATACAATAAAGTAATGCATCTAACAACTTCCTATATATGCAATAAATATCCATTAACTTATGACTCACACATGCACATGAAAATTAGACTCAAAATAATGCAAGACACTGTACAGTGTGGATTTAAAAATCCATATTTCATTGGACTTCGGGTCCATGATAAACTTATGATCATTATCATTATGTCGACATCAAAATGTACATATATTTCAGATCCCTTACTCATTAGTCCATTCCATTATGCATATGCATATTATTCATCGGTTCCATTATGTACCGGTATTAAAAAAAACCCTTTAACTTACATTCCGCATGCTATTTTACTATGATATCTGAATACATTTCTCATTTGGTACCATCATAACTTTTCTTACATCATAGGCCATCTATTATAATAATTCAGATATCTATACCACTTTTAGGGTATTCCATACACTATGGTATTTATATACTATTACACTATTAGTGTCAAATGCACTATCTTGCCAAATATCATATCTATTAAACAAATCTTTATTTTGGAACCGGTCATATACAACCTACACTTCAGGTGTAGTGATTCAAGTACAATTGACAAGATTTTATCTCAATTTATAAACATAATTAATATGACCAAAATGTATCTTCAACTCTATGCAACATGAGTCATAACTGAATACAAATCAAATCATAAATGTGCAACATATCTTGATAATATATATACAAAAGTTGGCATATATATATATATATATATATATATATATATATATATATATATATATCTTTTCAAACTACCATTATAGGGATCATAAATATTCTTTATTTATTTATTTATTTTTTTTTTCCAACTTTTACTATTTCTTCTCCCCCAAAGTTGGTAAAATATCTCTTTTATAGGGGCGTCTAATTCTATACCAACTTAGTATATAAATTTGCATTAAAATTCATTTCATTGGGAGGATCACAATCAAAATTTATCTCTTCTGGAGAACAATTTCGATAAAGAATCATTTATTCATTAACTTTATATTTCATGTGTATTTATTATTAAATTTTCAATAATATTTTCTCTTCTGGAGATCAATGTCAATGGGGAGGCATATGTTGTGCAGTTGTACATTTTTCTTTCTTCTCCTATTTCATATGTGCTGACATATAATAGCCCCAATCAAAAGATTGTTATACAAGCATAGATCACTTGCTTGTAATTCTACTAGGTGGTGATCTTCTGGATCTTTAAAGCTTTAAATAATGTATTTGGTGAGCTTCTGATTCTCTGATAGTTTACAATAATATATACGTTATTTTGGTGAACTTCTGGTCACCCATTACTCCTTTTTATAACCTATTAACTCTTGAAATTTTCATCAATACAAATTAGTATGAATCACAATCCAAATATATATAGCTCAATCTCAATGTTATGTCTTGCCATTCAATTCATTTCATACATCTAACATTGAGAGAGCGTCAGCACAGTATCAAATGAAACTTCAGGTTTCCATAACGGTAATTATTAAACCTGGATGGCCTAATTTAATTATCGCATCCAACCACTTCTCTAACTTTGAGCTCTGGTCAGTTTTCCAACACTAGTGATCACTTTATTAAACTTAATTAATGCATGGCCATGAATATGATGTGATATTATAACACCAACATGTGTTTCTTTATACAATTGGCAAGACAATCAATTAATATTTTATCCAATAATTACTCATACTCTACTGGAGTTTAAATTATAAACTTGATACATGTTTATCTTGTTGGATATTTCATACTCTTCTGGAGTCTTTTATAAAATCATGGAACATAAAATTTTTTACTAAAAGTTATTTCTTCTAGAAATATAATGTAGTTTATCACTTCCTCAAAATCGTCATTGTCAATGGTGGCTCCTTTCCTTTTCGAAGATACTTAATTATCTTTAGATTCTATTGATCTATCACACTTCAGACACGCTATAGGTTCATAAGCAATTAGTATTGTCCATCTGGGACATCAATTTTAATTGGAGCATTTACAGTTAGTGTATGACATTTATTTATATCCATCTTCAGGATGGTATCATTTCAAAATATTTAATTAACATGTGGCCACTTATATTTAATAAATCATTGATTTTTAAGTTAATGTATATATCAAACTGACCATCAATATATTTTATTATTTATGTGCAAGGATTACATAAAATAATGGAATGAATACAATCTCCCCCTAATCCTTGCATATGGGGAATAAAATGAATCCAACATTAAATCTCATCCAAATTTTAAGGCATAAATCCTTTTAGTAATGCATGTATCAAGCATAATTACTCTTAGCTCTTGCCAATTATATTAATCTCTTATAAGTATGGGCATAATAAATTTTGTAAGTAAGTTGCTTAAAATGTCATGATTAATTTCTTGAACTCATAACACTATTTCTTGTTCCAATAGATATTCTTCTGATTTTTTTTTCATGAATAATATAATTAATTAAATGAACATCATGCAAACATGCTTATTAGTTTTCTTTCAATCATGCAATATCTCATTCACTTCTGGGAATGAGCTAGTGAGTCTAGTTAGCTATCATTCAATTTAAAAGAACAAAATGTGAAACTTCACCCAAAAATGGGGATGCAAATGAGTATTAGCTTGAAAGTTGACCATTTCATAGAAATTATATGTCGGATCTCATATTATCATAACTTATGATAATTTATCAATCAACTCCTTTTCCATCTAATCAACAAATAAATAAATAAAATAATACAAGATGGAATATGATTAACATAATTCAAGGTCAACTAGAAAATATCCATATATAGTTAATTAAGTATATGACATCATGCATTCAAATATTAAAAATAATGCTATATATCATCAAAGACCTAAATCATACTCATGAATTATATATATATTTTTTTATAATGACTTCAAATATCTTAAAGCAAATATTCATATGGGCAATGAGATTATTTCCTCACCCACAAAAAAGTAATTCCATTCATAAAGTACAAGCAATATTGATCATCTTTAAAGACTTCATTGCATTTCCATGAAAATTTAGTCCACAAAGTTTAATCCATACTCATCAAATTAAAGTCACTTAATTCAATCA